CTGGCTAATCCAGCCCTGGGTCCTGGCCGGCCTTCGGGGGAGAAGCAGGCTGGTGACCTGAGTGCACGGAGCTCGGGTTCTAATCCCAGCGCCCCGGTGGCATCCCGGGCCGTGCAAAGGGGACAGCGGGACTGGTGGTGCAGGACAGGAACCAATGCACGTTACTGGGAGGGGCTGGCTGGTGGGTCTGAGCCCCTCTGCCAGCTGCACACCTGTGTGTCCCAGCCCCGACACTGCTGGGAGATCCCCCCTGCGCTCACTGGCCTGGGAGCTTCTGATTGGCTGTGTTGTGGTAACCATGGTAACCCAGGGTGCTAGCAGCCTGTGACCACGTCCTGCCAAGTCTCACTCCCGCCCAGAGCCTGCCTGTGAATATGAGAGGCTCTGTCTGGTAGGCAAGGCAGTGTTGCCTAGTGGACGGGGCTGGAACTGGGTTGCAAGTCTGGAACCCTGAGTTCTAGTCTTAGCTCTGCCATGGACCTGCTGGGCGACCTTGGGCAGGTCATGTCGCTCCTGTGTGCCTCAGTTTCCCCACTGAAGTGAGGCACTGAGCCCCCGTTTATAAAGCGCTTTGAGCTCCACACGAGTCCTGCTCTGGGAGAACTGACCCTCTCCCCTCTTGGTGCCAGAGGACCGGTGGCTTGTTTGGCCAGATTGACTCCTTCCTGGAGCGGAGCAGCCCCCTACAGCCCCACGTGACCAGCCAGAGGCCCCTCCAGTTCACCGAGATGGGGAGTGAAGACTTGGACTCCCCCGTCTTCCTCGATGACTTCCCCCCTGGCGGGAACACCAACACCAACAACAGCAATGCAGCCGCCGCAGGGTAATGCTCCGCAGTCGGAGACAGCCCCCCGGGAGGTGCTGTGTGTACGAACGGGGCGGCCTCGTACGAGAGGAACCCCTTCGTCCCCTCGGCCGCCGTGGCGTGGAGAGCAGGGAGACGCTCAGGGCCTGTGGGCGCGTATGCATGGGGGCAGCTGCAGGGGCGTGACTGGGCGTGGGTGTGCACGTCTGGGCTTGTGTGTTAACTAAGGGGGGGCCTTTGAAACCAGCGATCCCCGTACAGCCGGCGCAGATCCTGTTTCTACCAGCAGGGGTCGGACTCATCCCGGCAGCCGGCCCGTTGCCTCTGCCCGTCTGTGTTCGATTTACCCCAAAGGAAGAGCTGGCCACAGATTAGTTAGTGTCTAGAACAGATTTCGAGCAGCAGTGAGCATCCGAATGGGGGGATACAAGGGCCCGCCACCGCTCCGCTCCTCAGCCCCCCGCAGCTCGGCCGCCGGGTCCACTTCCCGCCATCTCTCGCCACGGGAAAGCCTTGTCCGGCCTATTTTAGTCCCTCCGCTACTTTCCCGCCCTACATTTTATGTCACTGCGATTTCATTTGGCAAGTTTCATTGGGAGGTTTCCCCTCCTTCTCCTGGACCTTCCTTTGTGCCAATCAGTCCCCAAGGGGTAGCCCTGCCGGGCTCTGTCCCCCGCGGTGACGCACGCCAGAGGTGCCGGCAGTGTTTGGGGAAGTCCCCCGTCCCCTCGGAGCGTGCACTGCATCTGGGGATTAGGGGCAGGGCCCAAAGCAACAGAGAGACTAGCACTCCTCCCCTCCCAGGCATTGGCCTCAGTATCGCAGGCCCGGTCAGTCAGAGACGAAGCCCTAGAAGGGGAGAGAGCCCACTTCTCAGGCAGAGAATGGGGACAAAGGGCAGGTCACCCCATCGACCCGCTCACAGGAGCCATCATGTCCCCTAAAGGGCACCATAGACTGAGACCGGCACTTGTGCCATGTAAGACGCCTGGGATGGATGACACGCCATGACACGCATGGGGCCACCTCGCAGCCAGTGGCACTGGCGTCTGACCCCTGCTCTGAAGTGAGACAGGACCCTGCCTCCGCCTCCCTCCTCCGCGCTGCCGTTCAGCTCCGGGACCGGCTGAAGGGTTCACCATAGGCTGTCGGTGCCCTGCGGCTCCTTCCAGGCTTTGTTTGTCTGACGAGCTCGTCATTTCGAATGAGCCTCGCTCCGCTGCTATGGAAACCCGCCAGCCCCTCCGGCGTTGCTCAGCTGCAGGCCTGAGACAGGACCCTGCCTCCGCCTCCCTCCTCCGCGCTGCCGTTCAGCTCCGGGACCGGCTGAAGGGTTCACCATAGGCTGTCGGTGCCCTGCGGCTCCTTCCAGGCTTTGTTTGTCTGACGAGCTCGTCATTTCGAATGAGCCTCGCTCCGCTGCTATGGAAACCCGCCAGCCCCTCCGGCGTTGCTCAGCTGCAGGCCGAAGCCCACCCAAATCTCCAACAGTCAGCGCCAGCCACGTTACCTGAGCCACTGTGACGGTTCTGGTTACGGGCGTGAGCCCGTGCCCCTCTCCTCGGGGTCACGGCCCAGCGAGCCCTCCGTCTTTCCTCTTGGTTCCCAGTGTTTTGATGGGCGCGAGCTCCCGCCAGCCCCTTCCCCCCCCACGGGGGGGGGGGGGGTGACATGGGTCCACCCTCCCTTGCCGAGCGGTGTGGGTTATCTCCTGCTTCCCTCACCCGCCTTTCGCCCCCATTGGGGTTACACTATGGTGTGAGCTGGGGGCAGGGGGCTAGGGGGACCCGGGCCCGCCCTCTCCACTGGGTCCCAGCCCGGGACCCTAAGAGTTTGGGTACTAATCCCTCACCCGGCTGACGGGGTTCCGACCCGCAGCGCGTCAGCCCACGGGCGCCAAAAGGGCCCTGCCCCGGGCTGCTTCCTAGCCGGCCCCACGGCCGCGGCCCCTGTGTCCGAGCTGCTGGTCTCACCTCCTCATCCGCCGTGCCGAGGTCTCCGGTCTTCTGCTCCGCTGGCGTCTCACTCATCCGGTTCCACCAGGGAGGGACAGTTCGTCTCTGCGGCGCCCCCCCCCCTTGGCTTTGGCTTGTGGCCTCCTTTTAAACCTCCCGCCGGAGGTCACGTCGGGTCTCCCACCCCTGCCCCCACCGTCACCGGCGTCCCCATGTCAGGGTGCAGGGGGCGGATTCGTGCCCTGGCGTATTCTGCCGGGGCCGTGCACATCCTGCTCGGCCCGCCGGCCAGCCCTATTCCCCGCCGCCGTGGGGCTCTGCTCCCGGCGACGTTCGGCGTGCACGCCTTCCTGCTGGCGCGCCGGCGTGATAGCCCCTCTCAGGCATTCTGCTGGGGCTGGGGCCGGGGCCGCTGCCTGCCTGTCACAGCCACCCCCCAGCAATCCATCCTCGGGCCGTACCCGGCATCCCTCTACCCAGCAGGACTCCAGAGAACCCGCCAAGCACCTCAGACCCAGAGACTCATTGGAAACCCTTTCCCTGGTCCCACCCCATCAGTGGGGATCCTGGCGGCCATTTTGGTGACTAGTTCTAGAAGATGCCATGAAGAGATTGCAGGCGCCCACTGGCACCATTCCATCCCCGGCAATCCGCTATCCCTCCCTGATCCTCTTCTTCAGTACCGGCCGACACACAGCGAGGTGAGCGCCTCAGCCTGCCGAGGTCTCTCTGGCCGAGGCCGTCACCCTTCTCTGCTCATTCAGCACGTTCCAGGACCTAGCGAGGAGCCTGGCAGACTCTCCAAGCCCTGCCTGTGGGAGTCCAAGAGTCAGAACGTGCTTGGGCGGACGCGGGGATATCATTCCGCAGAGAAAGATTGCTCACGTGCACCAGCACCGCCTCCGGACCCATAGCAGGAATCTGCAGGACTGAGACTGGGTCCTCTGCCACGCCTGTGCCATCAGCTTGCTTCCAGGGAGGACACTGCTGCTGGCGATGCTGTTCTCTCCGCAGGCCTTGACTCGCCTCCCCGGCACCCCCTGCTCTGGAGTCACTCGAGGAAGAAGGGACGGTGGCTCCCCTCACAGTAACGCCAGTTCTTTGCTCCTGTGGGCGCTCCACCTCCCAGCCTCCTCCCTCTGCTGCGCAGGGGCTGCCTGCAGGGCTGAGAGGGCTGAGCAGCGGCCGGCTCCCTGGGTCCCTCGTTCAGAGCGCACGCTGTGAGCTCGCACGCGCGGGCCGCCCGGCACAACCGCTGCCTCCGAGCACAAGTGCACGAGGCAAGCATGTCCTGGGCGGGTGCAGCCATTGGGCCGGAACACCTCCCTCGCCTCTCCTCCCTCGCTCAGTCAGGCCGTCCTGTCTGTCTGTCCTTCCACCTCCCTCGCCTCTCCTCCCTCGCTCAGTCAGGCCGTTCTGTCTGTCTGTCCTTCCGCCTCACTCGCCTCTTCTCCTTCGCTCAGTCTGGCTGTCCACTCTGTCTATCTATCTATCTATCCTCAGACAGACTTTTCTGTGTATCTTTCCATCTGTCCATCTCCGTACACACCCATCCATCCATCCATGCAGACGACCTTCATCCCCCTTCAGCAGGGCTGCCCAGTGGTTGGGGGTCTCTGATACAAGGGCTGCTGGTTCTGTGTTTATGAATGTGAGTGGGAGGGTGGAGGGGAGGAGAGCAGAGGATGGGGGCAGAGGCGGGAGCGGTGGTGGAGGGAGGTGACACTTATGAAGGAAGCCCCCGGAGAGGTGGCTGGGGGTGGTCCCTGTGCCAGCCTGACCTGCCTTCCTGTCCCTCACAGAGGGTGCCGGCCCCCAGCCAGCCGCGACCGCTCTCCGCACTGGGTCAGTTCCTGCAGCCTCGCCGCACCGGGCATTCCCTGGCCTTACCAGGAGGCGTGTCCGGGCTGGCAGTGCTGTGGGCATGGGGCGGGACCCCGTGTTTCACCAAACGGACCCTCCTTGTCAGGGGAGGGAGGGAGGGAGGACCCCATGTTATTGGAGGGCTCTTCCAGGGTGCTGGAGGGAGGGTGCCCCTGTTCTGTCGGGGTGACTCCATGTTCCACCAAGGCCACTGGAAAGCCTCCTTTCATCCGGGCAGGGTCTGCTCCTTAATGGCCCCGAGGGTGAGCTGAGCACAGAGCCAGCACTGTGCTTCCCTGCTGCAGTGAATGCAGACAGTCGTCTTCCCTGGGGGGCCAGCTCTGGGGGGGCCTTTCCCCCGGGTGCCATGGCCTCAAATGAATTTCCTGGGGTCCTGCAGCCTGTTCCCCCCTCAGCCGGCAGAGGTGGAGGGGTTGCCTGGGACCCCCATTTACCATCCCCATGCTGGCCTAGCTGGGGCAGAGAGGCTGGGCTGCAAGGCGCGGGAAGGCCCACGTTCTGCTATTCAGGGGAACCTTCCCCGTGAGCTAGGGAACGCCGGGTTCCCCGGCCCCGCTGGGCTATAGGCCCCCCCACACCAGGGCTCCGCCTCCCCCGC